AAATAGGGGGATGATAGCAGAACGGTGAAAATTTAGGTTGTGTGTATTTCTTAATGCAAATAAAAAACATTTTTTGTTTTCAAAACTAAAAAATGAGGGTGGCTACCTCTGCTACCTTTATCAGTTAGTGGGTATAAAATAGATAACAACCTATTCTCTGGACGTACTGAATATATACATATAAAATTTTTATCAAAATCGGTCAAGCCGTTTTGAGATGGTAACAAAGAAAACAAACCCCTATTAAAAATAGGGATGAAGGTAGAACGGTGAAAATTTAGTGTTGTTTGTATTTTTTAATGCTAAATAAAAAAGATTTTTTTTTCACAAAAATAAAAAAATGTGGGTGGGATCACCTTTATTTATCACTTAAGGGTATGGAAAAAAATATATAACTACCTATTCTCAGACCTACTGAATATACATACATATAAAATTTCATCAAAAATGGTCAAGCTGTTCCGGAGGAGTAACCAAAACTGTAACACGGAAATTATAGATATGTGAAAACTGTGGAGTGCGGAGAGCGGAGACCGGAAAGACTGATTATAGCAATAGATGAAATTTAAAACTATACTTTTAAAACTATTCAAGAAAGTACACACCAAACAAGTAAACGCCGCGCGTCTATCTGTTCAATCCCGAGCAAAATAGCGAGGCCCCACGGTTGGGGCCCTTGCTCGCCAAAGCGAGGCCCCATCGACAGGTCAGATTTGATGCGACGAGACTTCTAGCACAGAATATCTAGCTACGCAACAGAAGCCTCGTTACATGTATAAAATTGTAGTTAGCAAAAGGAGACAGGCTTTTAAAGCCTGTCTCCAAATCAGATATTTTGATGTGGTAGTTTCGCTACTACATAATAGAGGGCAATAAATTTAAAAGAAAACAGTTTTCTACAAACAAAATTTAAAAGAATTTTGTGCAGTGTTGCCATTGTGTAATTCATATCGTAATACTTTCTGATAAAGCCTACCTTCAAATTTGCTACATCTTTAAACATATTAAAATAGATCAGAGGTGATTTTTTCACTTTGCCATGTTAGTTGGAATTAAATCTTATGAGCTAAATTACAATCACTTCCTGACGTTTGATTGTATAATTGAATCCTGAATTTTCATTGTAATTCGGCGACAATATAATAAGTATTGTTCTACTATTATGATACCACTTCCTGACGTTCAATTGTGTTCATACCAAGTTCATATCGTATAATCGGGAAAAAACGGCGTTAGCCATGGCTATGAAATGAATATCGCTGTCTTTTATATATAAATTTTTATGGGAAATGTCATCGACCGCTTTTCCAACCAACTAGACGCTGATTTTTACCGGTATCATATACGGTATTTGATATATATTATTTTTCATGACATTACAATCACAGAATCGTAGCTAGATATTCTGTGATTACAATATTATGGTACCATGAAGCATATCAAGTGATAATACTATAATATAGTACCATATTATAGATAGAATATGAGAGATCCTCCTCCTCATTATACTCATCCTCCTCCTCCCACCAATTAATTCTACCCTTTCCCCTACCTCTTTTATTTCCAATATATTTTGTTATTTATTCTTAAGATTTCGTTTATATATCTAGTTTCAACAACAGTAAGAATAATATCTAGTGTAATATTTTATACAATAATATTACTAAATGAGTGATTTAGTAGAATTTCGATTGCAATTATTAGATCAACAAACTAATCAAAATGTTCTTAGCAACGTCAATCTTTTAGTGTGTTAGACTCTCTCCTAGGAAGAAGTAGAAAGTTTAACTACTTTAAAATGAAATGTACAAGAAAGTATGAGTAAGCTTTGTGCTATTTGTTATGAAATGAATGATTTCTATGAATGTTGTATGCCAAATACCTGTTCACACTTTTGTCTAATTTGTATATTGAAATGGAATGATGTACAAATGTGGTTTAAGGATGAAATGTCCAAAAGTTGTCGCTATACATATTTGGTGCAGATTCAAGAACATGTAATTAGACATCATTTTACAATCACATTAAAAAGAGGATTTAATTTCTAAAAGAAAATAATGCTTATATTTTTATTCAAAATACATATTCTGAATAAAGTATATTTTAGTTTAACAACTTTAAGTTAGGTTATAAAGTTAAAATATTGTTTATAATTAAATATTGTTTATATAAATTAAAACATTGTTTATGAACCTAAATAGTCTTTGAATATACCTATTTACCCTATAACTGTGAAGTATCTACTTATAAATATGTATATGTTACTACATATAACTATTAAACATTTTTACTTTAAAATAATAGCATATACCCTTCTAAATTACCACATATTAATAAATAAAAAAATACTTATTACAAATGTTTAACTAAATACTATACTAGTATATAAAATTATAAAATTTTAGAAATAGTAACTTAATAACTAATTACTAAACTAAAATATATAATTTAAACAATACAAATAAAATTATAAAATAGTAACTTAATAACTAATTACAAAACTAAAATATATAATTTAAAAATATAATATAATAAAACAAAATATAATACGCACCAAAAATAATAATGTTTATAGTATTTACTATATTTGCTTTGAAAATTCTTCCCATTGCAAATAGCAACATATAGATGCATTATAATATATAAATTACTGTTACACACCCCACATTTACCACCAAGTGTCATTTTATTAATGTCTTGTGGTAATAGTTTTGTTTTGAAGTGCGAGGACATATGTTGATGGGAACCGTACGGAACCCTCAACTGATGTCGATAATAGCACTCTCCACACAATGGCACCTCACGAAAACTACCACTCACATTAGTGTTCATCGTCACTCGCACATAATGTTTGAAGACACAAAACACTCCGGATTCTAAGGCTTGTTGATATTCCGATATACCAATATAGTTTGCCCTAACCGATATATGGGAATCAGATATATCATTGTCTTCACACCCGGAGTCGTTTGAGTCTTCAACATCCTCAGGAGCCATTCCTTCTGCGTTATTAATATCTCGCTGCTCCATAATATCCATTCTTCTTTCTACCCTTTCTTCTGGATGTTGTCGATTCCAGAAGAATTCATAGAGTCTTTGAAGTAAATGCATTTCTACAAAATTGCAAACACAAAACAAAATAATAAATAAATAGAAAAAATAGTATACACAAAATCATACCTATGTCGTCTCTCTATATCTCTGTACCACACGTACTCAAGTTTTATTCTTGTTATATTCTATATTAAACTTATCCATTTATAAGAAAATCTTAACCACAGATCTTAACCTTGAAAACCAGTTTTTCCACTCCAAAGGTAATGAACTTTCAAGGAAAATGGTGTTTTTTTGCCGTTTGTAAAAAAAATGGTGTTGTTTAAGAGGAAGGAGGCTGAGGGGAGTAGCAGGATTGATGACCTAAGATAAAAAAGAACTGTTGATAGGAATGCAACCAGTAGAAGGTTAAAGTAGGGAGCAAGTATAAAACTGTCTGCAGTTACAACAGATTGTGTACTTTCAAGAAGTTCTTGCAATAAGTTTATGGTTTCGGCTTTTAGATTTTCGATTTATTTTGTGTTGTGAATTGTTTGTGTCTATCAGGTAAATATTTTTTTAAAATGGATCCTGCAAAAATTAATATTTTACAAATAATTTCGATGAACAATTTTTTCTGACCTCATTTGATTTTTTAATTCAGACTTTGATAAACACTGAAACTAAATAACATGACTACACCTAACATCATTACACCGGACTATTACTCAATCGAAAGAATTAGACAATTTCTTTGAATGAAATTGATAATAGTGACATTATAAATACAGACAACCTTTTTACACCATTTGAAATGGAAAACTTTGACGATTTAAACAAATTTTTAACAGATGTTAAAAATAGAGACATTGATTTTAACGAAATATTTTTAGAGGAACTTATGAATGACTCCATTTCAAAATTTGAGAAGACGTTAATACAGAATAGTAAATGTAATAATTCTGTTAATAGTGATGAACATAAAGGAATTAATAATTTTGATGATGAACTAGATTTAATAATTGAATGTATTGATGACTCCAAAAATGAGGGTCAGAATAGTTCCTGTCAAAACATTTCTCCTTTTTCACCGGCACACTCTCAAAAAATAGAGTTTAGTTCCGATGAAAAAGGAGAAACGTTTAAGAATAAATCGAAAATAGTAAACCAAGCTTTATTATCAACAAAAAATAAGAAAACTTTTAAAAATATTTAAACCATTTAAATTAAAAAACTCTCAGCTTCGCTCTCGAACAATTTATAAAACAAACAAACATAATAAAAAAAATAATGCAGAACTACAATATTTAAAAAATCTGTCGATAAGTTAGTGGATTCATTTAATTAAATATTTACACTTTTTCATTTATTTTTTAATTAAATTATATTTATACATTCTTTTTTTCCAAACTTAACCTTACATATAATAAAACCATAAAATTATTTTACAGTATAAAATTGAAAGATGTTTATTTGTCCATCGTGTGTATCTTACCCGTAAAGACAACCTATCTCGCCATTTAAAGAGTGTCTGCAACAAATCTTCCTCTTTCTAATCAGATGGTTGACAAAGTCTACACCTGAAGAAAAAAGTAAGATTTTTTTCATTTTATGTTATAACCTTTTGAAATTAACAAAATAATTGTCTTTATAGAGAAATATTGTGAAGAATGCAAGGAGTTAATATCACAAAATTTATGGTTTGGTCATCTACGATCAAACGCACATAAAAATAATTCTAAAATAATTGAACAACCAGGAGTACAAATTATTAAATCTGCATTCAAAGAAAGAATAATAACATACAGATTATCTATGGAGGAGATGATCGTAAATGTTAAAAATTACTTTATAACATTGGAACAAAAGATTCTTCGGATATTTGAGGATCAATTAAAAAAAACATACATGCATTAAAATTAATATGGAGCTTTTTGGCTATTATTATAATCCAAGTACTGATAATCATGATGTAAAATCATTTAATACTCCATTTAAAGTGATTTGCAATAGTGCCGAAACAAAGGATTTGATTGAAGAATTTGTAACAGTTATGACAACAAGGCTGATGAATTCGCAGAAAGGGACTCTGGTAAGTGTTATATTTTTTAATATAAATGTAACATAATACATTAATTTTATTTTTTTGTTTCAGGATGGATCTTACTAAATCTTCTTTTTATGGAAATTAACATCAACAAATTCAATCCTTTGAGAGCGTCATCGTTTATTCAACTTCCTCCTGAAATAGTACGACGTCAAGCTGTCGTCAACATAAGAAATAACGATGACTACTGCTTCGCATGGTCCGTAGTTGCAGCCCTTCATCCTCCAACAGGTGTTGATTTTCAAACATCATCATACCCACACTATTCATCAGTTTTGAACACTACAGGTATTGATTTTCCAATATCATTAAAAGACATTAAAAATTTTGAAAATCAAAACAATATTTCTATCAATGTGTACGGTTTAGAAAAATATTATAATAAAATTTCTAATAATGAAGAATATGAAATAATTGGTCCTCTACATTTTTCTAGTGATAGAAAAAATATTCATGTTAATTTGTTACTAATAAATGATGATGATGGAAATTTTCATTATTGCTACATTTCCGATCTTTCTAAATTAATTTCTAAACAACTTAGTAAACACAATGGAAGAAAATATTTGTGTGAAGGATGTCTTCAATACTTTGATACAGAACAAAAATTACAGTATCATAATAGTTATGATTGTGATCATGTTAGAATTAATTTACCTTCTAAAGAATTATTTAAAGACAAATATGGAAATGTAGCATATGAAAACACATTAAAATATATAAATTATCAAAAGCAAATGAAAGTTCCTTTTATAGTATATGCAGATTTTGAATGTATTTTAAAACCTTTGAATGAGAATTATGATGTAGAAAATCCAAATAATTCATATACATTAAAAAAATTTGAACATATTCCATACTCTTTTGCGTATTACATCAAATGTTCATTTGATGATGAATATTCTAAGTTTGAAAAATATAGAGGTTTGAATAGCGAACAAGTTTTTATAAATTATCTAGAACGAGATGTATTAAATTTATATCACACTTTTCTAAAAAATCCTAAAAAGATGAATACTTTATCCGAATTAGAACAAACTACACATAATAATTCCACAAACTGTCATATTTGTGAAAAACCGCTTTTAGGGGATAAAGTTGCCGATCATTGTCACATTACAGGCAACTATAGAGGGCCGGCTCACTCTTTATGTAATATAAATTTTAAAATTCCTAATTTTATTCCAGTTATAATGCACAACTTACGTAATTACGACAGCCACCTATTTATAAAGACTATGTGTTCAAATAAAGAACAACTATCAGTAATTGCCCAAAATAAAGAGAAATATATTTCTTTTGAAAAACACATTCTCGTAGATAATTATTTTGATCAACATACAAAAAATTTAAAAAAAAGAAATTTATCATTGAGATTTATCGACTCCTTTCAATTCTTATCATTTTCTTTATCTAATTTAGCAGATACTTTAAAAGATGAGCAATGTAAAGAAATAAAAAAGATTTTCGAAGATGAGGAACAATTTAAACTTATTCGTCAAAAAGGTGTATTTCCATATAGTTATATTGACAGTTTTGAAAAATTAGAGGAAACTGCTTTACCTAAAAAAGATCAGTTTTTTAATAGTTTAACAGATGAACATATTACTGATGAGGAATACCAAAGAGCTCTTAAAGTTTGGGATCTTTTCGAATGTGAAAGTATAGGAAATTATTCAGACATATATTTGCTATCAGATACTTTACTTTTAGCTGATATTTTCGAAAATTTTCGAAAAACATGTTTGTCAACATATAAACTAGATCCTGCACACTTCTACACATTTCCCGGCTTATCATGGGAAGCGTGTTTACGCTATACAGGCATCGAACTGGAATTATTAACAGATCCGGATATGTTGCATTTTTTCAAAAATAGCGTTCGTGGTGGGGTAAGTTCATGCATAACACGGAAATCAGAGGCAAACAATCCTTTTCTATCAAATTTTGATGCAACAAAACCTAATAAATATATAATGTACTATGATGCAACAAATTTATACGGTTTTGCTATGTCCCAATATCTGCCAACAGGTGATTTTGTATGGTTAACCGAAAAAGAAATAAAAAATCTAGATATTTTTTCAATTTCTAGTACATCTAGCAAAGGATATGTTCTAGAGGTTGATCTGGAATATCCTGAAAGTCTCCACGACACTCATAACGATTTTCCTTTTTGTCCAGAAAATTATAAACCACCTAATTCAAAATCTGCAAAATTAATACCAAATTTAAACAATAAATCAAAATATGTAATTCATTTCCAATTACTAAAACAATGTTTGCAAAACGGTTTTAAGTTAACTAAAATCCATAGAGTGATACAATTTTCTCAATCTGCTTGGTTGAAAAAAATTATAGATTTAAACACAAAGTTACGTAATGAGTCTAAAAATGAATTTGATCGCCACACGTACAAATTAGCAAATAATAGTATATATGGAAAAACAATGGAAAATGTAGATAGGAGAGTCGATATAAGACTTGTTTCCGAATGGGAAAAAAATAAAAGAAAAGATGGAGCTGAAAATTTAATAGCAAAGCCATATTTCAAGGACTTAACAATTTTCTCAGAAAACTTAGTCGCTATTCAAATGAAAAAAATACTAGTTACTTATAATAAACCAATATATGTTGGATTTTCCATACTAGATATTGTCGCGACTTAGGGGCTGGGGTTATTGTTTGCTAGGTCGCTATACACCAGGTTCTCTCTCTCAATCAAAACAACCATTGAACAGAATGTGCATTTATTTAGCATAAGGTTTACAGTATAATACAATTTTGGGGAATGCCAAGACTTAACGGTTTACTTAACTAAGTACTTACAGGAACATCTTCAGTCTGCGCTGTCTTCTACTAACCGACTGATAACGCGAATTACTGACCGTAATAATGCGACTCACATCGACCGACTGACTTCTCGACTCTCTTCAGCATACATTTTTATATTTTCTATCCCTCGTGGTCATCGCCGGTTACGTCGTTCAATCTGTTTTCATCTAATTACATTCACCCGGCTATGACCATGAGGAAATCGAACTTTGGTAGCCTGCGTTTGACTATCGACCCGAGATTGTTGTATTTTAATTGTTTATTATCAATGTTATTTAAAAACATATCTGTGTCGATGTCATGCAGGTAACCGATCTCTTGGGCCTATATCAAATTGGTTTACTCGAATTATATTTTATTTACTAGGATTATATTATTTGTGTTTTTTCCCCAATTTGATCTAAACCCAAGTTGACATCTATTTAAGTCTTGACATATCCCCCGGGCTTGGAGAGCTGGTCCCCAGCGATAAAAAAAAATATTCTGTAAAGATTTAAATAGAAATGAAAGTCATGAAAATAAAATATATAAAAAAAAAATATTTTTATCGTTCACTCTTTAGTCCTGTACAATAATAAGGGTCCTACTCGATACCACCCGTATTGAAGAAGTGCGTCGTCCTTGTACGTTGCCTTCTGTTGCGTCCATTTCAACCAGACTTTAACCGTAGCTCATATCAGTTAAGTAATGCACACGCCAACACTGCCTTCGCCTTTGTTTGTCTGGTTGCCTTCTTATCCATCGTGGCTGGCTTCTCTCCGTCCGCGCGCTTTGCTTCAGTGTCAAACGGGCGACGGCCTTTGAAATTGCTGGAATCAGCGGAATACTGGACCATTTTTTTTCTTTCTTCATTCGTGTACTGTTTTCTCATTCGAGCCAAACAAAATTTACTTGTTACTTACTCCGGCGCCTCCACCATATGTCGCGACCTAGCTGGGGTTGTTTGCTAGGGTCGCTATACTGTGCCTCTCTCAATCAAAAACAACCATTGAATAAAAATATACATTTATTTAATATAAAGTTCACAGTATAATACAATTTTGGGGAATGCCAAGACTTAATGGTTTAGTTAACTAAGCCCTATTAGGAACATCTTCAGTTTGCGCTGGTCTTCTACTAACGGACTGATAACGCGAATTACTGACTGTATAATACGACCGATGGACTCACTTGGACTCTTCAGCATACATTTTTATATTTTCTATCTCGTGGTCATCGCCGGTTACGTCGTTCAATCTGTTTTCACCCACTACATTCACCCGGCTATGACCATGAGGCAATCGAACTTTGGTAGCCTGCGCTTGATTATCGACCCGAGATTGTTGTATTTTAATTGTTTAAATTATTAATGTTATTTAAAAACATATCTGGTCGATGTCATGCAGGTAATCTACCTATATCAAATTGTTTTTTCCTGATCTAAACCCAAGTTAACATCTATTTAAGTTTTGACAATATTTCAAAAACTGTCATGTACGATTTTTTTTATAATTTTTTAAAACCTTTGTATAAAGATAATGTGTCTCTTTTGTATACTGATACAGATTCTTTTATTCTGGAAGTGACAACAGAAAATGTTTACCATGATATGAATAGAAATATTCATAAATTTGACACTTCCAATTATGTACCCAATAATATGCATAATATGCCAATAACACAATCAGTGGTTGGCAAATTTAAGGATGAATATGCTGGTGAACCGATTGTAGCTTTCTATGGTACCGGAGCAAAAGCTTACTGTGTAAAAACCGAAAATGGTTTAATAAAGAAAGCCAAAGGTATAAAAAACATGCTATTAAAAATCAGTTAGACTTTATCCACTACAAAGATGTTGTGGAAAATAATTCTAAAATTTTTTCTCTATGTATGTGTTTCGTTCTCGACTACATACAATTTTTACGGAATTAATACATAAAATTGCATTGAATTCCGAGGACGATAAAAGATATCAAATACCATATGACTATAAAACACTTGCTTGGGGTCATCATGATATTTCATTTTATCAGTGGAATGCTGATCATCTAGACCTCAACATAATTTTAAATAATATTTAATTTAATATTATTTCTTTAATTTAAACATTTAATATGATTCATTGTGATTGTATTTTGTATTCCTCTCCTAAATGATTTAACTCATTAATTTAATACATTAAATTAATGAGTTAAAAATGAGTTAAACAACTCATTAATTTAATACATTAAATTAATGAGTTAAAACATAAATATTTATTAATATTAATTTATTATTCCCTTCAGAATGTTTTAAACTTATCATAATTTAAACATATTAGTTATAGAGTTATCAAATTATAATTAATTATATATAGGAACAATTTATAATTCATGTATTTTAGTTTTAAGAATGTAGTGACTAATATAATTATTTTATATGGTATATAAGTTTTTATTTTAATTAAAAATATACTTTTGTATTGATAATGCATTTTAATAAAAAATATACCTACTTATAAATACATGTTTTGACAATATTTCATTTCTTATTAACCCTTCTTAAGATGTGTTTGGAAAGTTTTGATAAAGATATTGGTGATGTTACTTATAAAACCTTTGAAAATCGACTTTCTACTTTTAAAAACTGGAATGGAAAATTGGAACCTGAGGTATTAGCAGGAGCAGGCTTTTATTATATTTCATATAGTGACGTATGCAAATGTTACTATTGTGGAACTGAAATTTATGAGTGGACCTATGATGACTGTCCTATCGAAGAACATCACAAAATTTCTCCATTATGTAATTTAAATGAATGTCTATGGTTAAGTCAAAACAAAAAAAATAAGAAACAAAAATTCAAAAAATCTAATAATAATTCTTTGGAATGCATAATTTTGATGATATTATTATTCATTAATTTACATCTTTTTTCAACATATATTTCTTATGCTAATAAGTATTTATATTCATCTATAAAAAAGATATTGTCAAATATCATTTGGTAACCATCTTGAATGGAAGTAAATTGTAGATAAATAAAATTTTTAATAAAATATTTACTTTGTTTCAATGGCTCCTCAAACACATTTTATTCTCCTTTATTTCATATTTCAAAATGTTATTTATGTTCATTATCCCCCCACTGTAACCCGATGTGAAATATGTTTTTCGAATGAAACAAACATTACACTTGATAAAAATTGTCAATTTATGAAAGTTGGTTTAATCAATAATAATACACTTAGTTTTATATATCCCATCAACAAAGGAGAAAATGTTAGTAGGTTTTTTAAAATTTTATATCATTATTCAAACCAAACCATTTTTGATACTAATTGGATTGAAAGAACCGAATTAAAATATACACATTTTCAAAATGAATCATTCAACTATACTAAATTTATTAATGAAAAAAATAATGGATATAACATTTTTAATATCGTTAATCTCTTTTTAACTTTTACTATATTTTTGTATATTACAATTTTAATTATCTTTTTTTATTATAAATTTCAAACAGGAAATTTACACTTTCAATAATCAATTTCATTTAAAATATTGTTTCGAATAAGCAATGCGCATGAGTTGACGATATGAATAGGTGGGGTATGAATTGGTAGGGGTTCGAATATTAAAGTAAGAGGAGAACTTAATATTATTTAGTTCATTCACCATGTCTTCTAAAGTTTTTGAAAATCTTTTAAATTCAAAAATTTTCTTTTTGAATAAATCTTCATCAAAATTTGTTATTGTTGGTATAAGTAATCAAGACTTTTCACCGAAAATTATAATCGGTGGAAAAAATGGTTTTTCTATAACTCTAAGTGAAGAAAGTTGGAATAGTTTTTGCAATCATCGAGGAGTTATTGAAAATTACTTCTGCTTTCCCCAGCAAATTAACGAACCCATGTTGAATATAGACAACTTTAAATTATATTTTGAGAAAGTCAACAGTCTTCCTGTTATAAAAATTAAAGAAGAATATTCAAGATATATATATTTAGGATATGAGTCTATAGAAACATTATGGCGATTAAAGGAAGTTGTGGATTACAGAATTTCTATTATAAAGAAACAAGAATTTTCACTTTACTTTAAAGTATTCCAAACCAGCATTTCAATTCAGGAAGGTGATCCTATTGATAATATTTATCGCATTTTACAACCCAATCAAAATCCCAACAGTGAAAATGTTTCAACCATGTTGGAGTTCCTGATACTGTACCCGGAGGAATTGGAAAAAAGGTTGAAGAGGAATGAACTCAAAAGAAAATATTATGAAGAAATCGGTGACTTTTCAGGAAGAGAAAAATAAACTTTATGTGTTAGTGCAGTGTAATTTTGCTTATAAACAAGCACGAAAATGTGAATTTAGAACTTATTATTTAGATAGACTTCGTTTTGAAAAACGAATTAATAATTGTAAGATTATTCTTGATCCAATACTAAGCAAAGAACACAGAACTAAAATGTATTTAACACGATTTGCTAATACTTGTATTTAACCCAATATTAAATAAAACTATATTATACTGATTAGTGCTTTTATTTTATTTTAAGTTACATAAAACAACTATACAACATCATTTTTATTAATCCATGTATTAAACTTTTTATCTAATCCTAACCATTTTACATAAACTTTGTTTCCTTTTCTTCTTAGAATTTTTTCAACGAGGTATACATCAGAGTGTTTTGCTTTCTGTAACTCCTGTTCATAAAATCCACCCTGAATTTCCTCATTTCTTTTATCTTCAATTGTATATGTTCTGGGATTTGTCATCTTTACTTTTTTAATTCTAAATATTTCATTTGACTAATTTGGAGTGTAATCTTTGGAAAACGCCTCGCGATACTTGCTTATACGCACATAATCTCCAACTTTAAATTTAACAAGTTTTGAATCTACTGTTTTAGCATGAGTAAAGATTGATCTTAAAATCTTCTTTTCATTTTGTTTATTTACTTGGTTTGGTTTCATTCCAATTGTTGAATGTTTGGTGTTGTTGTAATCCTTAACGATATCTTGTAAAATATTAATATCTATAATTTCCTTGCAAACTAAACATTTTCCACATTCTGGTTTTTAATGTTCGGTTTACTCTTTCAACTACACTTGCTTTTAAATTGGAAAAAGTACTATAATGATTAATTTTAAATTTTCCATCAGTCTTTGGAAATGTTGGTTGAAAAATTCTGTACCCCTATCCGTTTGCAAATTTTGTGGGTTGGTTTTTAAAGTAAGTAATATGGTTTTCATTGCTGTGGCAACATCCTTACCAGATTTTGTTTTTACAGGTTCTGCCCAAACATATTTTGAAAACACATTTATAACAACTAAAATATATCTATAACCCCTGTTAAATTTGGAATATGGTTGCATTTCTACTAGATCTGCCTGTAAAAGATCATTTAGTCCTTTAACAATTACCCTTCTTCGCATAAATTTTTTTCTAGCAGGTTTATGTAACTCATTAACTACTTGTTCCTTAATGGTTGTCATACTTTTGAAATTTTACCAAAAGATATTTTGTTTTGAGAGTACCTAGTTGTCCACAAAGCTTTTATACGTCTCTGTCCATTCTTTTAATTTTTGTATTTGTTCATCCTTATTAGTTTCAATCAAAATTTCATTAATTTTAATTATTTCTTTGACTAGGTTATCTAGATATTCTTTAACTGTTGTTAATAGAAAATCTTTTCTTTTATTTGCAGAATTTTCTACTTCCGTTTCTATTTTTGTTAGTTCTTCATGCAATATTTTAGAGATAGTATATATAATTTGTGAAAGATTTTCTATATATTGTCTACTGTCTAAAGGTACATCAACTAATTTTTTACCATTAAGAGTATCCTTTATAAGTTTACTTTTAGTTTGATGAATATTATCAATATCATCTTTTAGATGTTTAATTCTTTCTTTTTGATTTTTAATTATCACTTCTCTAATTTGAGTGTTCATGGTCTTATTGATTTCATCAATATCAGCATTAATTTTTTTATTTTCTTCTTTTACATACTCTTTCAACGATTCTAGACTTGCATAAAGTTCATCCAATTTTAAATTAAACTTCTCTAAACTCGATTTCATTGCAGAAATTTCACTTTTACTTTTATTTCTATTTTCACTTTCCAAAATTTTTTCTGATTTTAATTTTGTAATTTCAGCTAACGTATTATTAAATTGCTGTCTTAGATCTTGTAGTTCTTCTGTCTTTTTTATGGTTAACTATGTGCATATTTAATGCTGTCGCTGTAATTTTCTCAGTTCTGTCAATTTTATCATGAACATCCTTAAAATAAGCTACTTCTTGATTAACTCTTTCATAAACTTTGTTTTCGAAATCTTCAAATTTTGTTTTAATGTCATTTTTAAGATTTGTTTTGATTGATTCAATTTGTGATGTATCGTTAATGGAATCTTTAATTTGTTCTATTTCTGTTTTTAAATTATTAATTGTTTTTATATTATCATTAAATTGTATAATTTTATCTTCATGTTTTTTAATTTTTTTATCAAAAAACTTAATTTTCTTTGCAAAATTATTATTGTTTGATTCATTTTTACTTAATCTCTTATTTATGTTGTCTATACCATATACAAACTAAAATATATAGGAAAACTGAAATGATACCGTCAGTTGGAGAATTCAGTGGCGCCATGCATCGGGTCGTTACACAACTTATGATACAATTTTATTTTATTTTACAGGAAACTTTACATTTTAACTACAAGTAACTATGTGGTTTTGCCCACTCTAGCGCCATCTATTATCAATTTTTTGGAACGTAATTTATTTTTTTGTACAGAAATAGGTAATTTTTCTTCTATTTCCTATTCTTTAATAAGAATAAGTTATTCTAAATGCGACATCGCTCCATTATATCGTATTGTTCTCAAACAGGTGACGTTTCATTTAGAATTAACTTATCCTCATCAAAAAATATGAAATAGATAGGAAAAACAGCTATAGTTAATAAAATAAAAATAATTAAAACTGGATATGTTTAATAATAATTATTAGTAATAACTTTATAAAAAAAGTAAATAATACAAATTATACAATAAATAAAATTTCTTCTTCAGACTTAGGCTCGCACGGCACTGCTCTACTTAACTTCTTCATATAAATACAATAATAATAATAAATCAATACAATAGCATTAAATAATATAAAATACAACTAACAAAGTTTTGTCACGAACTTATACGAAGTACAATAAATGCAGACCTACTGATTAAAGCGAAGTAACGTGAATCAAAATACATGCAATTAATCCAATGACATTTCGGCCGCCGCCGGCGCTTCGCAAAAGTTTAAAGTATGATGCGCACTTGAGCGAAGCGCCCCGAAGCCGAAGCCATGCGAAGCACTGTTTTTCGCACGCGATGAATAATTAAAGTTGTTTTAAGTTGGCCTTTTTAATTTTAGTATTAGGCGTAGAGAAATATTATCTCTGTGACGATTTGATAAAAACATTGGATTCATAACATTAATATAAAAATGCCTTTTATTCTGCATTTTTCATCAATTTCTACCCAGGTATTGTCTCGTCTCAATTCATTATGATAATTTGGGTTCTTAACAACTCTTTGTAGCTCTGTATAATCATAATGAATGTTTCACCATCCTTGATCTCAGTAATTAAACTGAATTCACAGGTTGTACGATTCCTTTGCTATACTTGCGATCTGAAACAAATAAATATGTATAGTTATGTGATACATAAAAAAACCTCGAGTATGGTTTATATGATGAAAAAATCAAAAATTTGATACCGTTGAAGGGCTCTAAAATCTCAAAAGAAATTGGCTATGAATTTTTTATCTTAGTCTTTAAGCTAACACAGGCATCATTTTTCATAAGAAATATATTATGGTGCTTCATATGCCTTTTATAAGCAGGATTCAAAAACAATTGCTAATAAAGCAAATTTACATTTTTGAGTAGTATACTCCACTTATTATATTTTTTAATTCTTACCTAACTTGAGTGTAAACAACTGCCTGGGTTAAATTCTTAAAAGAGGTCTTACAAGAGAAAGATCTTACCTCACTCGCAAAAACTGCATCATCTGCACTCTGGAAGATTCCTGGTTTTGGGTTGTCTGATTCTTTCTCTAAAATGATAGATACAATTTGAAAAATCTAAAACGATAATTTTAATAAACCAAATTCAGTTTGGATTCGTATACATATTAACATTTTTAATATACTTTGGAATATCTAATAATTATTGAATCACTCTCTGCCAAATTAAAGTAGCCAGTGCCATAACTTGTTTATTTGCAGCTCAATTAAAATATTTTTTGTTATAAAGTTGATATGATATATTTTTTTAAATAATGTTAATCTTCATTACTGAATATTTTGCGATTTTTATTTGGCCCACGATGTAAGTACCTACCCTTTTCAGTTACTGCTTTTCTCAGGTAACAGTACAAGTCTAATTCCAACGAGAGAGTGGTCCACCAACAAGTTCTAACAAATGTTTGTCTTTAAATACAGGGTTTGTACCTGGATCGACATCACTGGATACCAAATTACCAGTAGGTTGATCATCTAAAATATTATTTTAATTTTATTAAATCAAAATATCTGAAAATGTTCTTTATTTAACTAAATGCATATACTTACCCATATGATCTGGTGTATATAAAAAGTCACTTGGAAGAGAATTAACTTCTAAACCTCTTTTTATTCCAGGCACGTAATCTTGATTACAAAAATGTAAATCACAAACTCTATAAAACTTTTAAATATCTTGCTGTGTTGTATTTTCCATTTTAAGGTTTCGCACTTGATATCATATCACTTTTGGAATAATGTAGGATCGTTCTTGAGAATGTATGTCTTTTGGAAAACAAATCCATACACGCCGACGCCGGCACAACATACTTATGAAAGGGCTCGTGAAAGGGTTTACGGCCTGATTCCATCATTGTTTTTAATAAAAAGTTTAAACAATCACTAAAATGTCAGTAAAACTTTTTTCGATTTTTACGGCATATTATTTGGATTAAAAATGACTTGATTTGATTTTGAAAAACGCTAAAGTCATAACATTTTTCCTCCAGCGACCGGTGGTTCGTCACAGAACTAATAAATTTGTGTATAACTGGTTGCAGTGAAACAGTCCTTTCAAAGATCTCAATTTCAGTTTCCTATATATTTTAGTTTGTATATGATCTATACTACCTTGAAAATGTTCAATTACTTTATTTTCAGTATAGTTTACATCTGTCTTAAACCTATTTAAAATTTTATTTTCAACATTTGATAAGACTGTGTCTTCCAAGGTTGTTGTATTTACA